GAAGGCGACTGGGACGATGGGCAGAACACTTTGAGGAACAGTTTAACTGGCCTCCAGCCACCATTGCGCTGCCCGCTATCCAGTCGGACCCTGAATGGGACATAGAGACAGGTCCCCCAACACTAGAAGAAGTTGAGAAAGCGGTAGGTAGCCTGAAACGGGAAGGGCAGCAGGACCAGACGGACTACCTGCTGAGGTATACAAGAATGGTGGTAGAGTGCTCTTAGTCAGGCTAACGGAAGTGTTAGCCAGTATATGGGAATCAAATACGATCCCCTCCGACTGGTCTAAGTCACTCATCATCCCAGTCTTCAAGAAAGGCGAGAAGTCCTCTTGTGATAACCACAGAGGAATCAGCCTGACAAACATAGTGTCTAAGATCCTAAGTTCTATAATTCTCCGACGCCTGAGTGGAGCTCGGGAACAGCAAGCCCGAGAAAACCAGGCAGGCTTTAGACCTGGCCGTGGATGTATCGACCAAATATTCACACTGCGCCAGGTCCTGGAACATAGGCATGCTTACAGACGCCCGACAATAGCTGTATTTCTCGACCTGAAGGCGGCATTTGACTCCGTTGATCGAGAAGTCTTATGGCAGTGTCTGTCACTGAAAGGCGTGCCTAGTAAGTACATCACCTTATTGAAAGCTCTCTACTCGAACACTTGTGGGCATGTTAGAGCCTATGGTGAGTTGTCCAGGGAGCTATACTCATCAAGTGGTGTCCGTCAAGGATGCCCACTATCCCCATTCTTATTTAATTTTATCATAGATATTCTTATGGAGGTTTCCCTCTCGTCACCTAATTACAAAGACGTTGACCGAATCACAGGTGAATTTTCCTTAGATCTAGAATATGCAGATGACATAGTCCTGTTAGGTGAAGACGCTGACAAGATGCAGAGTCTTCTGAACACTTTGAGTGGGAATTTGAGAATGTTTGGGATGCGATTTTCACCACCCAAATGCAAATTTTTGCTCCAGGACTGGTCTTCAGCGGTACCGCGGTTAACAATAGAGAGTGAAGTGGTTGAGTGTGTTGACCACTTCACTTACCTGGGAAGTAGGATCAACCCGGTGGGTTAGTTGCCGATGAGATTTCTGCACGGATACAAAAGGCTCGATTGGCTTTTGCCAATTTGCGCCACCTATGGCGCCGCCGTGATATTCGTTTGTCTATTAAGGGTCGCGTGTACTGCACAGCAGTCCGCTCTGTTCTACTGTATGGCTGTGAAACATGGCCATTGAAAGTGGAAGACATGAGAAGGTTCAGGTGTTTGACCACCGTTGCCTTCGTAGTATAGGACGTATTCCGTGGTGTCACCATGTGAGTAATGCAGAAGTTAGGTGTAGAGTTTTAGGGAGAAGAGGTAAGTCAGTCGACGAGGTTGTGAACCTTCATCGACTGAGATGGTTGGGACACGTACTACGTATGCCTAGTCACCGATTGCCTCGTCACACAATGTTGGCTGAGGTGGGTTCAGGCTGGAAAAAGGCCCGAGGTGGCCAGACTAAAACATGGCACCAATGTATGAAGTCTCTGACTGTTGGTTTAAGCCATGTAGGACGATGCAGACTAGGTGGTTGGGGTCCACGGGACAAGAGGAACCAGTGGTTGGAGACCCTAGGTGATATGGCTCAGAACCGAAGTCAGTGGCGCAGATGTATACACACATTATCCTCATCTTAACAACGCTATACCGAATCTCACTATTTTGTCACTCCTCTTTCCTTTCTTCTCGTACTTTATATTTCTTTTGACTGCATTCACTTATCTTCATCCTTCACCTCACTACCTTTTTACTTGATGAACTGACGTGAGGAGTGGCAAGTTGAACCGTTACGCAGTAATGCCTGGTCCTATGTTGATAATAATAATGATGATGATGTGAGAAACGTCCCCCAAACATCCTCAGACTGCCAGCCAAGGAGTTCAAAAGACCATATTTCACCAGTCTCTACTTGACAGGAAAGTGTCACTCGCTTACTCTAGGTTAACAATGGAGTCTACTGTAACTAACTCAATCCTGCAGAAGGGGATCCCTATACGTACGTCTGTGACAGAACTAAATACGAATGGAAAAAGTGGACAACGTCGCACATTACTGGATAACACACTTTTCTATAGATAATAACATGCCCATGGGTGTTTGGATACACAGTCTTTAACAGGGTGATGGACTTACCCGCCATCGCCTTTAGCGATAGATATTGAGATAAGACCTGTAGATCGACGGAGTCAATTGCCACATTTAGATTCAGAGATACAGCCAGTCCTGGGTGCCGTTAAATGTGCTTCCTACTTTACCACTCTTGATGAAAGCCTTAACCAGGGATTTTCTACATTTAAGGCGGTTTCAAATGGAATGGTAGGATCTCATTGAGTCAGAAATCTGACTGGTTAAAAAGATAGTCAGTCTCTCAATTTCTTCACTTTCCAGTGCTACGACCCCCATTTCAACCACTAGCGGTATCTTCATATGAATCACCATATCACGTACACTATCTTTTAATGCTGTGTCACTTCTAATTAGTATCATCTATCTTGGTTCCCCAAGAAGGCAATTAAGAATATAGATCCACTTCCTTGTGTCAAAAAAATATTTTCACATCGAAATACTTACCTCCAGTGGAGGTTACGACGTTCCCAGTGAAGAGTATGTGGACAACACCGACCAATAAATGTGGCTAAATGTTAGTCAACTTAAACTTTGTGATCGGTAAAACGCTTATATGGATGCTAGAGTTAGCAACAAACTGTCTACTCGAGATGAAACTTGTTAAAATTAGTCCACGGTTTCTTTTTGGTGATAAGATGAACCCTGATACAATCCAGTTATTTTACATTGATTCATATAGCTATTCACTGTAGAAAGTACTAATTGAAAGTCACAGTGAGAAATAAGATTACCGAAATTTCGATCTCCCCGCAATCCTCTTCCTCTGACCCGACCGATAGCTGCTACCTTGACGTGGTGGTCGGGCTTGCATATCACAATGACCCAACGAGCTATGCTGGCGAAACACTTGTTCCCTCAAGGTTCTATCATACCAGAAAGGTCTGTTGGATAGTGGTAAGATGAAAAGCAGTTACCGTTATAGTGTAAATTGCTACACTATGATGGAAGTCTGAGGGCGAAGTCATACTGCTGCTAGTTGGATGGAGTGTGACAGCAGTAAGGTGTTTCCTTTGGATGACCAGCAGTGCCATGCTAATGATGCCTTCTCAGTGGAAGGGGGGGGGTTAGAAAAGGTTGGCCCCAAAAATAACACACTCCACCATGCTCCACGGTCTGCCGGGCCGGTGGTGTTGGTTCACTTGTCGTTTCCTTTCGGCCACCCGGCCCCAAAAATACAAAGGCTACGTGTGACAGGCCTCAAGCAGACGTCCAATGGGCTCTGAGGTCACGCAAATTTTTTTTCGATACCTTAAGAAGAAATAGCCTTCCACGGTGTGGGCAGCCGGAAAGTGTCAACCGCCCTCACAACTCTGTCAGTACTCAAGTTTCTTTAGACTGCTATCCATCTCCTCTTCCTCTGAAAAACGTTATCCCGTAATTCTACCTGATACAAGGAAACACTAGTGTTTCAGAATGTTCGATTCGACATCTGCCACTCATCTTCGCAGAACTAAACTCTGCCTCAAGCAACGTCTTTTATACGTTGGTACAAATAGGACTATGGTAATAAGTGGGAGTTCCATGTGGTATTCAGTCTACAAAGCAAAACTTGTTTGAAGATTATGCTAATCACATCCTGATCTGAAATCTAGTCAGTGTCACCGTTGTAGTGATCTGCTGAACTTCATTCATATTCGAACATGGACACTAAACCGAACCTGTTGGAGTATTAGTTATTAGTTTGGATTCATGAATGTTTCCGCTTACTCAATCTCGTATTCGATTCACCCAGTAAAAACAAAACAACAGTATAGCCAGGTATCTCACTAGCAAATCACCAGTGATTCTTGCAACCAACTTCAATAACTTGGACAAAATTCAGACATAAACTGGGGGCATTTTTCCATCGAAAACTAGAGTATCTGAAGAAATAGTATGGAGAGCAGTTTCGTAACAACGAGTCCACCCCTTCTATTGTATACACATTGAACTCTTCAATCCAGCATCACAAACCACACGTTTTTATCACTACTAGGATTTCTGTTAAGTAGTGATATCCTCTAACATACAACATATCACTTGACAAAAAGTTAAATTGACTTGAGTCATGTCTTGACCTCGTCGTCTTCAGGCGTCCCTAAACACTTCCATATCACACACGCCACCGTGCATCATAACAGGAGTGACTAGTCCACACGATACGACTTCATGAGCTTAAAACACGATCATCGTCTGCCTTATTCCGACTAGATAAACAGGTCAGCTGATCCCAAGTCAATACATCATCTCGGTGAAACTATACAAGCGTAATTACCGACACTAAGGTTACCTCACAGATACCTAATAGGGTCAGAGGTAGTCAAGTCGGGTGAGTAAAACTTGAAACAAACTAAACATACGGTAGTTTGACATGGTTCATGAAGCGATTCATGCTTTTTCATCATTTTCATCAGTTGTAAACAAACCTCACCCCGATGTAGACACTCGTTCATCTTATAGATACAGAGGAGATTCTGTATTACGTAGCATAAGAGCCTTTCTGAAATCCCTTCAACACCTTGTATCCTACGAAAGTCACCTTTTGAGAGTGTGACGTCAGCTAAGTTGATCAATGAAGCAACACTGCCATCCTATTCTCAACAATCTATTCAACAGTTAAGAGTAACCATATACTAAAAACATTAAAAGTAAGTCGTAAGTATGTGGGCAAGTTATCCGAATTGGACGCTGCCTAAGTCACATTCCATGAACGTGTAACGATTGTATCAAAAGCCGCAATTAGCCAAGTTATAGTCCCACGTGACTATCACAACTGCAGTTAACAAGAATAAAGTACTCGGTCAAAAATGTAATTTAAAACGAAACAACAATACACTACTCACTTTTTGAGAAAAGATTGAACACTTTTGGAATTCTTAGCAGAGGGAAAGTCACAATCAGTGACCAAAGCTGATACTACATCCAACAGATTTTCCAAGTAACATTCAGATGTTGGATCAAGTAATTCCTTTTCAAGTTCGTTAAGAGGGAGATTGTCAGACGATGACGACATTATCTTAGGACAAAATCTCCAACCCTATTTACAACAGTCAAACCTCTCCAAAATTAACCAGGTGGGCTGCAGTCACCGCTATGTGACCTTACTAACTGGACCTTTTAAACAAAACTGGTTTTAAATGGTTTTTGACAGAATAGATGAAGTCTTGGTCTTACTGGCGTCTGAGTTTAGGACCACATGACATCTAATTCTTGCGTCCGATAACCTTTTCATAGAGACAAGGAAGAGAATAATGACAACTTTATAAGTAACTTGCTCAATTAACTTGTGGGAACTTCAATCTGGCATTTGAAGGACTCCAATGATCCAGATGGAAGGCCTCCACAGGGAAGGTGTTCCTAGCCTTAACAACTTGTAGATATTAAGTTTTAAGCCTGATATCTGTCCTACTGTGTTCAAGTTCTAACTTCTGGGTGTCCCACCCAAGACTCGTGCTAGATCTTCCAATATCCAATATTGATAGTGCGAGCGTAGAAAACTGGTAGTTTTTGGTCTCTCACGTCTAGTTCTTACGGCTTGGTTCTGGTCGTTCGGTTCACTTCTGCAGTGAACGAGGAAATAACCTCTGCTTTCTTGCTTTAAGCTTCAGTGAGGTGGATGTTTTGTGGGTTAGTAAGTTGTAATTTGTAGAGTGAAAAGTGCAAAGAGTCATCTGAAGTGTTCAAGTTGTCATGCATCAGCTGTCCATGGTCGGATGTATGTTATCTTACTGAATACCAGTTGCAGAGCTAATCTTAAGGGACACAGACAAAAACTAAGCCTACAACATAGTAGGTTAAATATCATACACAGCTACTCCCTAAAAGTTGTAAAACCCTGGAATTTCGCTCCCGCAGAAGTGATCCAGTCTTCTTCGCACAAAACCCTTAAAAGCCAGTCTGAAACACACTTCACATATGAGTGGGGTCAGCTCAGAACCAAATGAATTTTCATATTACAGACACCACCTTTTGCTTTCTCTTGCACACGGGTTAACAACCGTAAGAAGTAGTGACCTCGAAATCAAGATGCGGGTGCAGGTTAATCGGAGGCTCCGTCCGTTCCGCCAATAAACATACGAAAAACTAGACTGAACGCTACGATTACTTCTCCGCCTTAACCTGTCCTTAGTCTGCGAACGGTTTTATTGCTGCACCTTTGGGTGAATTCTAGGTGGGTCTTGTCTTTCTGAAATGTTGAAGGGAAGAAAACGGTACCAGGCGAGCTTACGTGATACTGTTGAGGATGTGGTGGGAATATCCGTGGTGAAACTGCCGAAGGACACACCAAACATCAGTAGTGCGAGTAGAGGAAACTTGTAGTTTCTGAACCCTCGCCTTCAGGTCTTGGCGCTTGGTTCCTTTTGTTCGGTAATGCTCCTTCGGTGGTCACAGAAGTCCTTACAGTTTACCTGCCTATAGCTTTGGAGGTGGTGAGCGCCTATTTGGGGGTTTTCTTTTGCAAATAGCTGGCTGGTTGGTTTGTGTGAACAGCGGAGCTGCTGTTAAGACCAATTAACCTCAGGCGATTCTTGTTTTTGTAAGCACCTGAAAGTAAGTATTAAGCGTTACCTAAATATCCAAAAAATAAAAATGTGAGATGTGAAAAGTGGAGCGAAAATTACTCATGGAGACATGGGTGATACCAGTAATAATATAGAGAAGCGACGCATCCAGTTGAAGACACTAAGGTTGAAGAATGTAGAGATGGATGGCTTCGCCTTCAATTGCTACCGGCCAACGTTCACACGCCTGTCCAACAGTCTTTTGAGGGAGTCAGCAGATGTAGCTGCGGCTGCCTCCTTCGGCGGGGCCTTCTTCAGGGCAAACACTGTGTGAGAAGAAGTGATATGCTTCTCTTCTTTTTTATAATCTGGAAGGTAAGTGAGCGGGTTCCTGCTGGGCTGCCTCATCTGAACCTGCAATGCCGGCCTCTTTTGGTGTTCCACTTGGTACACGACGCAGTAGGCAGTTATCAGTCTGCCTCTTTTGTTCTGCTAGCCTGTGTGAACGAAGTGAGCTGGGAAGGTCGTTGTGCATATGATTTGTCTGTTTGTCCGGCACTTCATCTAGTTGGCCTTCTCATCATCTCAATGAGCATTCAAGTCTCTGTTTAGTGAGGAGGCCTATCACGTTGTTCACCTCTAGATATGGTCTGAAATAGTACTATGAAGGCTCCGAACTAACTTCTGTGAAAGCGCGTGTTTGTCTTCGTCTTTGCCGCCACTCCCTTGTGGTTGGCACTAGTATCCAGCGCGTAAGGAACGTTTAGTCCCAGGTTCTTCCCCATGAATACCCTGATGATCGTGCGCTTACCGGTGATGCAGCCGGTTTTTCTTGCTTCCAATGTGCGAGGACACTGCCTCAAACTTTTCTCAGCTGAGCATAACTCCATCTGCAGCAAATCACCTTGGCGCATCCCGGTATCCCCTTCCCCATCTATTGTCCCCCAGATTTTGATGCCATCGGCGAATAGGAGGATAGAGGAATGGAGTTGAGGGGAAAGTCGGAGATGAATGGTCAAAATAGGAGTGGCCTACGGATAGCTCCTTGTGAAATCTATGTTCATGCACCCCTGTAGGCCGTCGAGTTCTGTTTACTTTCGTATGGAATTCTCTACTCCTTATATATGCTGTAAATCATGCTGTGAGTGGCTTAGCGATACCCATTTTACAGGTTTGGCTGGAACGGTCCAATGTGGGATATTAATGAAAGCTTCGTTCAAATCCAGAACGATAACGTGGACTGGCTGCTTTATCGTCCCATCAATTGGTCCAGTCATCCCAAACGGTCATCAACTTTGTGCAAGTAGTTGCCTGGTTCTGAAGCCGTGTTGAGTGTGATCCACCATGCCGTCTCCGTTTAGATGGGGCCGAACAGCATCTGCGACCAATCTCACAAGCACCCTGGATAGTATAGGAAGACACGTCATCGGTCGGTAATTGCTTGGGTTCTTTTGGCCTCCTGCCGTGGTGATTGGTGAAAGGGTGACACACTTTCATTCTTGAGGGATTGACTTACTTCCAACCACTATATGAACTGATTCCATATTGGTCTGCGTAGCCGTTCGGATGATCCTGTAGGACTAGTGGTCTTATGTCGTCATAGCCAGGAGATTTCCCTATTCCGAGTGTCGAAAGTTTCGCAAATACCTGGCCTGATGAAGTCTTTACGTCCATTAGCTTTGTATCACAGCCCTGGAACTTCGTTGTATTACTGGTAGATTCACTGCTTCGTCGAGCTGATCGTCAAATCGGTTGCTCAGCAGTTCCGCTATCTCACTGTTGTTTAAAGGGTCTAGAATAACATCTTGCGACTGATACCCAACGGTTCTCTGTTTGGCCGTTTTAACCTTTATTCGTTGGTCTTCGTTGACATAAACCGACATAGGCCTTTTGGGTTGCAGTTTAGCTGTTTGGCCAGTTTATTCTGGTGTTTGAACCTGTTATCGTCAACGCTCACGAAACATAGTTGCGTAACATCTTGGGGCAAAAAAGCTGTGCTCATTGAAGGATATGCGCCACTCATACTTTCCCCCTCGCTCCCATGTATTTGCGTTTGGGTTGCGCCATTGGTAGTTTTTCCTTCGCCATGAGGTTGAAGAACATAGGAGGCCCGAAAGCTAACCACCCAGGGCTCCGCCACAGCACCCTGTTTCTTCGTGAGACGGTAGATGGGGAGGCAGGATGCCTAAAAAGGAGGCAGAAAGCATGCTGAGGTGGTTAATAGCGGTGGCGACGAAAGATCATTGGCATCGTAGCTTGTTGGACCTAAGCAAGACCAGTTACTTTCTTCGATCTAATCAGCCCATTAAATGAACTAGCGTGATCTGTGCATCGCTGCGTGACTGCTAAACCTTTGTTTGAAGTTCTGGAGCAAGTAATGCGTTCCAGAAGCCGTATACGCAGGGAAAAAATACGTGATAACACACAGGTCCTCACTCTCTGATTAAAATTTTGTATTGGGTTCCTGTGAACATCCCCACAATGATCTTAGGGTAGTGTCACCTTATGCAAATAACTAGGGTTACTAACTACTTTGTAAACTGTAAACAATCTAGTGTCCTTAATGGCGTCGAAAGGCAAAAAGGGCTTGATTCTTGATTTACCTTCATGTGACTTTTGCCACATCCCCGACGCACCCCCCATAATTTTCTTCATCACGCTTGCATCTTTCTTCAAATGTATTGGTGCAAAGGCTGCGAAATTTTGGGTGAGGTCGTAAATAAGTCTTGTCTGGCCTAAGAGGGAGTTCAGAAGTGAGGGTGCGAGTTGTCAGCAACTGAGCTGTAGTATTGCATGGGCCTTGGAGGCACCTCTTCCAATATGGGGTGTTGTCCTTTCTGTTATTCAGCAACAGATGCAGATCCCTCCGTGTGACCTCGTATAAAAGGCGCACACCAAGGAGAAAGCAGGACAGTTTCTGTAAACCATGAGTGCGGTAACATATCATCTAGACTTCACCCGAGTTAAGTGGGCATCCGTTGCTTTCACCCACTTTTCGGATATCCTGAAACTGTCTTATGTTGCTTTTGAATCCCTTTTGGACATCTCAGCTCTCTGAAACTAAATACCGCCAAAGCGCGGCAGAATTGGACGGCTGAGGTTTCGCGTTTTCACTCATAAAATTAGGAATATTGTCGAATCCAGGACTGATCCTTGTCATATGCCGGACTGTTGTGTCTTCCATGCTGGGTAAACCCAGTTGAATTTCGTACCACCTTCCCTGCTGTTTAAATAGTCTGGAATAACATCTTGCCACTGATACCCAAGCGTGCTATTCTCCATAGAGTGCTGACGTCCAGAACTTTCTCGAAGGCCTTAGCAAAGTAAGAAAATATCGCGTGAACAGGGGCGTTAGGATTTTAGCTGCCACTCCATTGTCGCAGCCCACCGGTATGTTAGGGAGGCAAAACTTAACCTCCGTAAGCATAAGCATCACTGAGGGGTGCATTTCTGCTCGAGGATCGGACGTTGTGGTCATCCATTCACCTCTCCCCTCTGAAGATCGGAAACA